AAGGAGTCTACCTATTTTAAACATTAAAAACATTTTATATTAAAAAATTTCATGTTTTTAGCTTGAGTTTCATATGAAATTATTAAACTGTCAGTTTCTGATATTTGTTACTTGTATATGGAAATAGATTTGGTTTGTACATACTGACCTTCCAAGCTGCGGTCTTGATACCCTTTATTGTCTTGGTACCTTTTTGATTAGTGTGTGATAATCTTTCAGTCTGCATGGCGTTTGTTCGTTTTTCGTGGCTTACCACACGCTCAGCCCTCTGTGCACCCTGAACAGAAGTGGGGAGAGTCTGTGCCCGTTCGTTCCCACGGTCTCAGCGGCAGTGTTGCATTTCCGTGAAGTGTGATGCTGCCTGTCGGTTATTCGCTGACTTCATAGCAGGCCGAAGAGGCTTCATGCTATTCCTAGCTAGCTACAAGTTTCTATGAATTGCCCTTCACTTTTTAAAATGCCTTTTTTTTTCAGATCATGAGTGTGATGGTTGGGTGTTCATGCCATCTGCATGAGATGTGCCTCCCTCAAACCTTGTTACGATTTCAGCACATTACCTGTCTGACGTGAAAAATAAATAAATAAAATAAAATGCCTTTTCAATATCAGTTGAAATGATAGGTTTTTGTCTCTGATTGTACTACCAGTTACCAAAAAGATGTAATATAATTTCAAAATATAATTTATTCATTACTATAGTTTCTATTTCTCTGTCGATATTCTTTTTTTTTTCACTTACTGATACATTCTCCTTTCATACTTTGAAGATATTTATGATAGCTACTTTGAGGTATTTTTTTCTATTAAATTCCACTTCTGAGCTCATTTGAAGTCAGTTTCTACAGATTATATTTTCTTAGTCAGTAATTTTGAGTTGAGAACCAAAAATTGTACATGATACATTGTACTGACTCTGAATTTCTTTACGTATTGCTGAGGGTTTCTGGTTTTTGTTTGTGTTACATGTTCTTTTACTTAAATAGACAACAGACTTGCCCAGGTTTAATCATGAGCTCTTATCTCGGTAGCAGATGGTATCTCTCCTCAGTTTCTCCAGGTTGCAGATGTCTCTTTAGCCACACAGGGTCTCTGGTCACACTATGTAATTTAGTAGACAGCTGAGTATTTGAACTGAACTCATGTGCAGATTCCGAGGCTTACTTTCCCTCTCATTTTTAGCCTGAGTTCTGTCCTCTGATAACTCAGATCAGGAGGGCTAAAGCTTTCTGTTGGGTGTGGTGGCACACATCTGTACTCCCGGCACTCAGGAGGCTGGGCCAGGAGGATTGCCTGGAGTTTGAGGCCAGCGGGGGCTACATAGTGAGTTCAAGGCCAGCATGAACAACGTAAGGAGACCTTGTCTCAAAAAATCAGTCAGTCGATCTAAAGCTTCCTCCATGCTTTCAGAGGCGAGGCCAACACCCACATGGGATGGTTAAGTCTTTTATGTCCATCCTGTGGTCTTTCTGCCTGTTTCCCCTCTCGGTCCCATCCCAGTCAGCGTATTGGGCCGCCGGGGCTAGGCACAGTGCGTTACAGTCACACGCTTGCTTGTCAGCCCTCTCAGAGTGCTCTTACTTTTAGGCCTGGACTGTTAGCTGTTTTCACAAACCCGAGCTGTGTATTCCGTCGCCTCAAACTGGGGGGATCTGATTTCATGCTGCTGGGGAAGTGAACACCATTTTTAGGCACAAGAGCCACTCGGAATTCTCACGTGCCACAGTCCCTGTCCTTCAGAAGGAAACCAGGTTGCTGCCTGGTTTTCGTCATTTCATGTGGCTTCACGTAGTTAACTTTGAAATGGTATTTTGTCCAGCTTTTATAATTACACCTGGGGGTGGTTTTGTCTGGGGACTTCCTGGTGTCATCTCCCAAGTTCAGACCTTAGGAATGTTTTCGATAGTGTCAATTCACAGATGTTGGTGATGCCTGGTGTATTACAAGAATTCAGTTAATATTTGTTGGATAGGTTAATCATGACTGCTTGTTTTAGACAATGGCTACCTATTTTCTTGTCTTTTTGTTATGTCCCAGTTACTGAAGGAAAGAAAGATGATATGAAAGTATAGATATGCAGCTTATCAGCAACGTTAGGAGAACAAAGATAAGAAGCTGTTTTCTTTTTTCTTTTTTTTTTTTGTCTTTTTGACACAGGGTCTCACTATGCAGTTGAGGTGGCCGTGAGTTCACTTTGTAGCCCAGGCTGGCCTTGAACTTGGAATAATCCTTCTACCTCAACCTCTTGAGTGCTGAAATTACAGGTGTGCGCCACCACATCTGCCTTTTTTGTGTATGTGTGAAGCTGTTTTCATTTAGTAATGAAATTTCAAAAGTATGACATTTTTGCCCAAGAAACCTCCAGAATCATCATTTAATACTTAAAATTCTGAAAAGAAAAGGGTAAATGAAGTAATAAAAAGAAGACTGTTTACTGAGGAAAGAGTACAAATTTAGAAATTCTATCAGTTTTAAAGTCTTCAGTTTAAAATTAGTATTGGGTTTTAAGCCCAGAACTAGAACGTGAGAGTAATACTGTTTCTGTAGATTTTATAAATGTTGCACACCAGGCTGCCTGTGGGAAGCGCTTCACTGTTGTGGCCTAGGACCTGAGGTTTGCGTTTGGTGGGCAGGGCAGCTGTCGTGGAGGCGCTGCGCCATGGGGCACAGTGCACCGCGTCCTGGCGGAGGGAGAGCCCTTGGTGTCTGGGATGTTACCCTCATACGCTGTGGGACCGGTCATGGTTGGAGAATGGGGCTTGGGATCAGTCTCTGTCGAAAGCATCTACTCATGGACCATGCTGTCTGCTGTGCAGTGGGGAGACACAAGCATCGCTCGCCACCCAGCCTTGTTTGAAGGAGAGAAAGGTAGCGAAAGAATGCAAGGTGCTTGTGATGTGAGACATTCTGACTGTCATCTTTCTCTTGTTTACAGAGGAGGATAAGTACAATATTTACTCACCGCTGCTCTTCAAGTATTTCCTGGCTGAGGGCATCGTCAGTGGGCACACTTTGCTGGTTGCATCCGCCAGAGAGCATCCTGCTGGCATTTTACAGGTACAGAATACACCACTGTGGCTTTGTATCTGGGACATGTCCTGAAAACGTGTTGGTTTTGAATGTAAGCAAGTTACGTGTGTTTATATATAAGCTGTATCTTAAAATATTAATAGGACTATGCATACTTTTATCTCTGAGAAGTATCAAATTTATTAGAACATGGAGTTCCATTTTAAATAAGTATTCTTAGATAATTTTTTTTAACTTAGAGTAATTCACATCAGATGAGGAAATACTGATAAGCTGTTAAAGCTGACACTAATTTAAATTACTGGGTCTACAGCCATACCTCCCCGAACACGCCTGATCTTGTCTGATCCCGGAAGCTGAGCAGGGTCGGGCCTGGTTAGTACTTGGTTGGGAGACTGATTGAACTTACTGGGTAGACATTCATAAAAATCATGTTGAATAGGAAAAAATCCAATGTGGAAGTGGAGAAATACCCTTTAATTCTTAATTGTAACTGTCCTTTTGACATAATTAATTTCATCCTAACTACTTTGTTTGAGCAGACTTTCCAAACTCAGCATTTCTTTACTGCTCACCAACTGTGACTTACCTGTTACCCGAAGAAGTCCTTAAAAGAAACTTGAATTTTAATTTTCACCATGCTGTTATCAGATAAAAGTATGAGCAGTCACTACCATATGAGTGAGTTAAAACAAATAATGGGATGAAAAACACAAACAGATTCTATTCAATAAGTGAATTGTAAAAAAAAAAAAAAGTAGATTGTCTTGTAAGGTATTTTTAATATTTTACACTTACACTTAAGCAAGACTACAATATTTGGCACTTTTACCACCAACATTTGCATGGTTTTATCCCAAACACATCTAAGGAAATTGAAAATTTCATAAATAGAAAAATTAGCTATAACAATTTTTGTATTTATGAATATTTAAATTTCCTTAGATGTGTTTAGGCTAAAACCATGCTTTGTGTTATCTGTTTGTTTCTTTTTTGCACAAATATTTTTGCTTTATGTCTTGTACTCTGAGTAACTACTTTGATGATAATGATACAGTGTATTACTACTACTATTCTCTAATTTTGTCATGAAATTTTATTTTTTCATAAAGTGAAAAAAGAAACATAAAGAAATGCTACATCAATGAAAAAAAAATTGTTATAGCCAGCAGGCCATATTCTACATAACTGTGATGGAAAGAGAACTCTGAAAACCTAGGTAAAGAAAAACAAGAAGAGAAAGCCTGATTACTATATTGCCAAGATGTTAAGTGTACAAATGAGAGGAAAGATACAGAAATTAGAAGTGCTCATTCATTGATTAACACTATTTTGCTGTGAGAATGCAGAGTGGATGCTCTTCCAAATAATAAGCAATAAAGATAAAACATGATTGATGTACTGTACCTTTTTTAACCCTAGCACAGATTTCATCTTGTTTATTAGGTATACCTCAATAAAACTATTTCAAAAAAATTCAGATTTTGGAGTTCATACATATATATTTTTGTCCTTTTTTTCTTTTCTTTTTTCTTTTTTTCTTTTGAGACAGGGTCTCAGTATGTATTGCAGGCTGGCCTTGAACTCATCATGTTGCCCAAGCTGACACCAAACTCACAGCAAGTCTCCTGCCTCAGCCTCCCAAGTTCTGGGATTACACACTTGTGCCACCATGCACAACCCATGAATACATATTTTTAGGTCTCAGTGCTACTGTTTTTTAAAAATAACTTAAGCAACCTTTATGTACATTATTTTCTCTTTATGAGCTAAGGATAACACCTGGTCTCATGAAAGTTTTCCAAAACATGATGCCTCCAGTTTTATAAATAACAGATGTGAGACCAGGTAGGCACACAGATTTCTAATCTTGCAAGAAAAAAAAACGCATTATCACAGTTCTTTCCCTCTCCTTGGGTTTTCCTAGCAATTCTGATGTGGATAAAATTTTGGATATTTTATTTAGATGACTATAATCACTGTGGAAATTTCCTAGGTCTCCTCCGCCTTGCCTCATCAGCAGCACTTGATATCTTTGATCATTTCTTCCTCCCAGATGCATTTTCTTCCTGTGGTTACCGGGATACCACATGTTCTTGATATTGTTTTGTCTCGAGGGCCAGTTTTGCTCATACACTTTTCTTCTTTGTTAGTGTCAGTTACTTTTCTCGTTGCTGAGACAGAATACCTGACACCCAAAGTTAAAGGAGGAAAGGCTTACTTCATCTCACAGTTTGTAGAAGCTTCAGTCCATAGTTGGCTGGCTGGAAGGGTGGCGCTGCAGAGGCACATCACAGAGGGGAAACAGTCCATAGCAGGGCAGCCAGGAGGCAGGAAGCAGCAGCAGCAGCAGCAGCAGCAGCCTGCCTTTATATTTCATACAGGGTATCTGCCTCTTGAACAATGCGACCCACCCAAAGTAGGGATCCTTAATCCCAGCATTGCACACCCTAGATCCAACCACTTCCAAAAAGCCCACCGTGACTGCATGAGGCTTTTGGGGGGTATCTAAGTGCAAGCTATAACACCTTCATATACAGATGCCCCAGGACTCAGTACTTACACTTGTTCCTTCTATCCATACTACTGATCACATCCTGCCATGTGGATGTCAGGATTATTTATATACTGGTGACTTTCAAATGCACTTACCTACTTGGACCTCCCCTGAACTCAGCTGCCTACCAGCTGTGTGTAGTTGTATATCCAACTACCTATTTCACATCTGAAAGCTAATATGTTTAAAATCAAACTCATGGGCAGCTCTTCCCAAACCTGTTCCTTCTTTCAGTTAACAGGTAACTCAGTTCTTCCCTTTGAAACCCATCCAAAAACTATGGCTTCATTCTTAACTCTTTTTCTCCTACTCCTATCATCTGGTTTCTCAGAAAAGTCAAACATGTCCACTTTTAACCTAAATCATGGCCACTTGAACCTAAATTGTTTGTTACTGGCCTCCTGGGTGTTCCATTTGCTTCTCTTCAGCCTCTTCTTGCCAGTGTTCGGAGCGAGCCTCTTCAGATGTCAGTCAGATCATGTCGCTCACCCCCTTCAAACTGCCGCAGCGAAGCCCACAGACCCCATCATGCACTGCGAGGCCTGTGCTAGCATTTGTTCCTCCCCACTGTGTGTCTGCTCATCGCCTGCTGTCTTCCCAGTCTTCATTCTGTCTGCTTGATCTTCCTTGCCTGGTGGGTGGGCTCTAAAATCAGGGCCATTGGATTTGCTGTTCCTCTGCCAAGAATTCTTTCATTTCTCTCATATTTTGTTTCTGTTCCCCAGACCCACAGATCCTCTTGCTTGCCTTAGTTTTCTCCATAGTCTTAGTATCAGCTGGTATAGTATGCACTAACTCTATATTTGTAACTCTGTATTTGTTTATTGTATGTATTTCCTATGAGGACAGAGCCTTTTTTCATTTTATTCACCGCTGTATGTTTACAGAATGTTTAACATACCTGACGAGTGTAAGGGAAATCATAAAACTGACTCATGGTTGTTAATTGCATGTGTCAGTTTAACTGGGCCACGTGGTGCCCAGATGTTTGGCTGGACATCTTCCTGAGAGCATGTTTCTGGAGATAGGTTTGCTAAACTGAGTAGGGATGATGGCCTCCTCTCATGACTGGCCCTTGTCCAGCAAACGAAGGCCTGAATAGAGGAATGGGGCTGATCCTCTCTGAGTGAGAGAAGTTTCCCTGCCTGATTGGCCTTGAACTTGGACACTGTTTCCTGCCTTATGCTTTCAGCTGAAACCTCAGCTCTTCCTGCATCTGGAGACTGCCAGCCTTCAGAGTGCAGCTGTACCTCCAGTCTTCCCGGTCCTCCGGCTGGCCTTTGAGCCTTACTGGACCTGTACCACTGACTTCCAGTCAACAGCCTGCAGCTGTGGGGATTTGCCGTAATCTCAGGGGCCAGTTCCTTACCGTCTGCCTCTAAATATACATGCAAACACACACACACACACACACACACACACACACACACACACGGCCTGTTGGTTCTCTTTCTATAGAGAACAGCAATAAATACAAATTTTAGAGAGGTCTTTAGGAAGTCCTTGCTTTGGACTAGGATAAGTAGCTTTTCGTTTTCAGGTTATTAATTTTTCTGTGGTGTTCCTGCCCCACCCTCCAGCATTACTGAGGTATAACTGACAACTAAAGGCTGTATATTCAAACTATACAAGAGGTGGTTTAATCTATACATACATGATTACCCAATCAAGTTCCTTGACTCGCGCATCACCTCACATGCTTATCATTTTGGATGTGGTGAGAACACTTCAGATCTATGCCTTTAGCAAATTTTAAGTATAGTGTACAGTACTATTAACTGTGGTGACTGTGCTTTACATTGGAGTGCTGGGATTTCCTCATTGGATAACTAAGTTTTGTGTATTTCAAGCAGTATCTCACTATTTTCCCCACTCTAATCCCAGGCAGCTCCTGTTCTACCCTTTCATAGGAGTTTTGAACTCACACATGGGTTCTAGTGTCACTGTATCTGTTATGCTTTATCTTCTCTGAGAATGTGTTATCAAAGACGTAATTGCTGCCATAAAAAACCTAATGGACTCAAGCAGCAGATTTACTTAATGTAGTATTGCAGATTTGATACTATAGTTCAAAATTTTATTTTAGTCTTACCTTCGTGAGTAGCCTAGAACAGATTGTTTTTATGTAAATATCAAGATGATTTTAGATGACAATTGAATATTTAACCAATAGTATGTTCAGTGAAGTTAAATATTGAGTTAACTATAAAGTTGAGTGTGATTGTCAGGAGAAATGTGTCTCATTGTGATTTTAATGCTGTCATTTGCTTTTAACTAAAATATATAGATGTGTACTAAAAATAATCAAAGCTTATGTGTGCTAAATAATGTGTACACATTCTTAAATCAGTAACATTATTTAGTTCTTAAAAACTATTTTAATTATGTGTTCTTGTATTTCCTGCCCCTCTGCTCTGAAAATATGTCTACATAATACAATCTTTACTTAGTAATATTTCTTAAATTCCCA